CGCCCTCTTCATGGGTCAGCAGAAATCCCAAGATCTCTGACCCGCAGCTCACTGCGGACTTCGCATGTCTCTGGTAGCCTTTTAAGAAGGTGTTTCTACTTTGGCCTGTTTTCAGTCACCCTGAAACTCACATAAACACCGTTACTCTTGGCATTTTTATGTGGACAACTCACAGGTGTTACCACCCAAAATAACTTTAAAAGAGGCAGGAAGAGGGCCAGCAGGTACATAGATTTTGGTACAAGTTTCTTCCCCCTCCATAGACAGCCACCATCAGTTACGCTTTCATAAAATTTTATTTATTATTATTATTATCATCATCATCATCATCATCATCATCATCAGTATTGAGATCACTTATGGAAGCAAGCAAGCTAATAAATGAAATATCACGAGTCATTTTGTCAAAATGGAAAAGAATGAACTTTCAGGCTGAGGCCAGGACATAAAGGCTGGGTTTCAGGATATGAAGGCTACAGAGTCCAGCACAGGGGCTTGCAGCGGATCCTGAGGTGTGGAAGAGAAACACCCTTCCACGTCCCCTGCAGCCTGTCTGTGAGAAGTGAGGCAGGCCCCCTTCCCTCTAATGCTGAGAGTGGATGCTAAACATGGACACATAATGGATGAGCTAGGATGCATTCAACAGGCACCCAGAGACAAAATGTTTCCCACACCAGAGGCAGCCAGAGCAAGACTGCCTGTAACCTTATCGATTTCATTAACATATCTAAAGAAAGAATGTGTCAGTCAGAAAGGGGATTTGGTAGTGAGGAACTGAGGATGAAGGGGAGGACTTTGGCAGTGTGATTCCCTGGGGTCCAGAGGGGGAAAGCCCTGACAAAGGCGGGCAGAGCATCTGGCCTTCAGAACAGATGCCACACACATCAGCACCCGCAGGCCCGCTCTCTACACCCAGGCAGAGATCACCCACTTCCCCTCAGTATTCCTGTAGAGATGAAGTACACTGATTCCTGGTCCACTTAGAGGCATCCCTTCCAAAATGAATTAGCACCAGGCCATTGTGGTTTATACTCCAGCTGCTTGGGAGTTCATATAATGTGACTTTACACTCCTAAATCTCACAAGCTCTGGGATGTCCAGCACCAACTTTAGACCTAGAAGCAGATCACAGGCCCCTAAACGGTGATAAATTCACAGAGAGAACGAAACAGGGGCTTCTGGGTAAGCAGGCAGTCACATCTGTAGGACGGTACCTCTCCAGATTCCCACATGACTCTCTAGCCCAGCTGAGAGCAAGTTCGAGGGATCACCACACGTTAACTTTACCCACCACAGCGCTGCTAACATCCTCTGGCGGCAGGGACTATTGTTTGTGTTCTCTCACACAACCGAGGACTGTGAGGCTTAGAAGGTCGCATCACCAGTCAGTGGCAAGGGCAGATGCCAACCCTTTCACTAGGTTAAAGCCAGTTGGCAAAGGTTCTTCCAGAAATGACTCAAATGGCATGTCATCATCAGATGGCACATCTAGAAACGTGTTGGCAACCAGCCCTTTCCCTGTAGGACACCTATGACACCAGACACGTCAGGGTGTGGATTCCACTCTCACCCTCCATCAGCACCACTGTTCTCAAGCTGGGGGTCCATGCAAAGATGAGTTAAACCTCCAACCATTCATCCCAGGAAGGAAGGAAGGAAGGAAGGAAGGAAGGAAGGAAGGAAGGAAGGAAGGAAAGAATTTGACCCATGATTCTAAGCCTTTCTACCCATCTGAAAACTCAGCCACGTTTGGAATGGCTGCATGCTTCACTTAAACCTTTTAAGGAACTGATTACATTTCTTTATGTATTTCTTGTGCTGGCATGCATGCATGCACACCACGACATGCATGAGAGGTCAGAGGATCACATGCGGAGTCTACTCTCTCCTTCATCACATGGGATAGTAGGTCCTAGAGATTAAACTCGGGGTGCAAACCTTGGTAGCAAGTGCCTTTACCCACTGAGCCATCTCAGAGGTCCTTAAATCCTGACCTAAAAAAAAAATGCTTATGTCTAGAGTCGGACAATAATAATATAAACAGTAGAAGTATCTCTTGTTATCATGTAGACTATACCTTTTACTCTTTTCAATCACCTCATAAAGTACACCCCCCCCAACATTTGTGAATTATAACTAACAAAAGTTGTAAAGCAATGGCATTGGGGGTGTAGCTCTGGAAGAGAGTATGTTCTTAACATGAGTGAGGATTAGGTTCAGTTCTCAGCATTCTGTCCACTAAGAATATCCTGTATTCAAGATGGTTAATGTAACGATTTGATATACATATGCATTATGTAATGATTACTACAATCAAATTAATCAACATACTTCCACACACCACACTATTGCCCTTGCATGCACCATTACCCTTGCATGCATGTGGGTGTGATAGGTGCACTCAGGCATGCTCCTGGTGAAGACATTTGAGAGTTATCTCAGCAGATTGTAATATATAACACAGTATCGGTAATAACAGTCACCAGGCTATGTATCGTATCCCTAGAACCTACTTGTCTTGGTTGGTTGTTGGTTAGGTTTTTGGAGAGAGGGTCCAACTGATCTCAGTTAGCCTTAAATTCACTATGTGGTCCTCAAACTTATCACACTTCCACCTCGCCTCTGTAGGATGCAGGTTTCACCACAACTGGCCTCTTCCACCTTCTACCTGAAGCTTGGGCCCTTTGAACAGGATCTCTGCATTTCCCTTCGGGGTCATCCCAGGCAACTACCATTCTTTTTTCATTATTATTATTATTATTATTATTATTATTATTATTTTGAGACAGGGTTTCTCTGTGTAGCTTTGGAGCCTTTCCTGGAACTCACTCTGTAGCCCAGGCTGGCCCCGAACTCACAGAGATCCACATGCCTCTGCCTCCCGAGTGCTGGGATTAAAGGCGTGCGCCACCACCGCCCGGCGGCAACTACTGTTCTACCTTCTGCCTTTAGGAATTCTCCTCACTACATTCCACTCAGGAGATCAGAGTATGTCCTTCTGTTCTTCTCATTATGTGGAGGACACAGTGTTCTCTAGTTTCTTTATGTTGTAAATGGTATAATATCCTTCCTTCTGGTGCTGAATAGTGTCCCAGTGTGTGTGTGTGTGTGTGTGTGTGTGTGTGTGTGTGTGTGTGTGTGTGTGTTGTGTATTGTATGATTTACATGGGTGAGTTTTTATATACATACACCACATTTTCTTTATCCACCTCTCATTTGGTGGACAGAGGTCATTTTCATGTCATGATATAAAACAGGTATTTTAATCCTCATTTAAAGATGAAGAAACAGAAACTCTGTCTCAAAAAACCACAAATAAATAGATAAATAAATAAATAAATAAATAAATAAGAAACTATAGTAACATGCTATCTGAAAATAAATATTTGGACTGGAGAGATGCTTAGTGGTTAAGAGCACTTGCTGCTCTTACAGAAAACTGGCAGCTCACAACTATCTATAACTCCAGTTCTAGAGAATCCAGCACCCTCTTCTGGCCTCCTTGGGTACTGCATGCATATATATGGTGCATATACTTACATACAGGCAAAACACATAAAAATAAATAAATATTAACAACAACAACAACAACTAAAGATGAGCTGGCATTTGCCTATCATCCCAGCCCTTGGAAGGTAAAGCCACAAAGATCAGTTCAAGACCAGTCTAGGCTATCTTTTGCATTCTAGGCCAGCTATGTGAGACCCTGTCGGAAAATAAACAAACAAATAACAATGACGAAAACAAAGAAGAAACAGAATCGTCACTGACGCTAAATAATTACACACAGAAGGTGATGACCACAGTATCTGCACCCTGCTCTAATCTGACTGGAGACTTTGCTTACAGTCACTCTGTACCACTGGCAGCCAGAGACATAACTTGAGTCTGGTGGCCCTGAAGAGTGAGGGGACACAGCAGCACACTGAGCAAAGTCACCACCCTGCAGAGACCAAGGGCGGTTTTTCTGGATTTATGGCCTGTGATTGGAAGGCGCTGGATTCCAATCAAGATTCACCAGGGAAATGGCTTCTATGGAGGAATGAGTTGCTGCAGGAGCAAGGTGTCTCATGAGAGACCCTCTGAGGTGACCAAAAGCCACCTTACCTTCTGCAGCTTGAAAATGGTGGGGCTTGTTCAGTGTCCCCTAAAGTTCCAATGCAAGAGAACATTTTCGAATACTGTAACATTGGATTCCAAGGGAGGCATGGGAAACTCTATTAGTAAAGAAGTATCCAAGTATATACAATGTGCAGGCTCGTGGCTCCGGAGTTCCAGGTAATGCTGTTCCCCAGGCACAATGACTGGGAGGTGAGCATGATCATTAGGATACATGATGTGGGTTCCCGAACAATATAAATATTTAAAAAAAGATATTCTTTTTCTGGTTTCCTCGGGCTCCTGCATGCATGTGGTGCACGTAAACTCATACAAACACACACATACATACACGCTCGGGCACACACACACACACACACACACACACACACACACACGAATTAATTAAAAAATTGCAAGCAAGCCTTTCCCAAAAAAAGGATCCATCACTCCTAAGATGTCCAAACAAGAGGAATCTACCAGTTTTTCAGCCCCGAGTTGTAGGCACGGCTAACAAAATGTCACCTAAATTAGCTCCAAGTCAACCACTTTCTCGAGGTCCAGAATACAGGACTGCTTGGAGTTCCAGCCACACCTGGGATGTGTCAGAATTCATCAAACCTAGAATTTTGGAAAGACAGCAAAGCTCCCCTCTGACAAGCCAATACTAACTCAGGAAACAGGGCACGGTTTCAAAAGAGTATCCAAATGTCTCCACTCCACTTCCTGTCCCATACCGCAGCATCAGCAAGAAGAAAGGAAAAGAAAAACTTGTACAAAGACAGCACCTCCTCTACTAAGACAACATTAAAGATAAAGTACGCAGCAGCCTGCCAGGCAGGACAGGAAAGCGTGACGGTGAGGTGTTAGAAGGGACAGGGCTGGAGAACCAGCCCATTTACCTGCGCACCACCAGCCGGAGGGTCTTGTAGGACCCCTTCACCAGGGAGACAGCCTCCCTCCTGGAACTGCTCAATGCCACCTCATTGATGTGCACGACCTCGTCCCCAGCTTGCAGACCAGAGCTCACCACATCAGCTTTTCCTCCTTCTTCGATCTGCTCAGAGAGATGAGAGAGAGAGCCACAGTGAACTTGTGTCCAGCCTGGGGTCAGTTCCCGTCCTGAGCCATGCCTGGATATAAGCAGAGCAGGGTGGACCAGGGGCAACTGTACCCTTTTCACCCACCCAAAGAATAATCTTTAAGAAGTAAAGGGCTGCCTGGACGACGGTGGTGGTGCACACCTTTGGGAGGCAGAGGTAGGCGGATCTCTGTGAGTTCGAGGCCAGCCTGGTCTACAGAGTGAGTTCCAGGACAGCCAGTACTGTTATATAGAGAAACCTTGTCTTGGAAAACCAAAAGAAGGAGGAGGAGCAGGAGGAGGAGGGGGAGGAGCAGGAGGAGGAGGGGGAGGAGCAGGAGGAGAAGAAGGATGACGAGAAGGAGAAGGAAGAGGAGGAGCAGGAGGAAGAAGAGGAGGAGCAGGAGGAGGAGGAGGAGGAGGAGGAGGAGCAGGAGGAGCAGGAGGAGGAGGAAGAAGAAAAGAAGAAGAAGAAGAAGAAGAAGAAGAAGAAGAAGAAGAAGAAGAAGTAGTAGTAAAGGGGGCTGGCCCCTGTTTTCAGTATCCTCTAGCATCTGTAACCCCGACTGCCCACAGAGGGCTCTCACAAACAGCTGGATGAACTCTCACAAACAACTGGATGGATGAATGTAGTTCCCACCTGGAGGCCACTAACCCAGGGCCCTCTGGACACCCTCTTGCCCTCTCCAAATCCACTTGGAGCTTCTGTTTTATTCCTTTAGAAACAAGGTGGTTTTTGTTGTTTTTGTTTTGACAGAGTCTCATGTAGCCCTAGCTGGCCTTTAATTTGCTATGTGATGGAGAATGACCTTGAATTTGTGATTCTCCCTTTTCCACGTCCTGAGTGCTGGGATCCACGGGAGTTCATGACCATTCCCAGTTTGTGTCCAAACTGAGATACAGCCTCAGCCCAGTGATTCATTTTTTATAACTTATTTCTTACTTTTTGGTTCAAATTCTAACTCATTGGATAAGCAAAGCGGTATAAACAATATAATGTTATTCAGTAGTAAAACAGAAATAAAAAGACACAGAGGTAGCAAGACATCTAAAAAGGCTACATACTCTAATTATGTATATGACACTCTGGAAAAGGCAGAATCATGCACATGGTGAGAGATCTGTGGTCACCAGAGGGGTAGATAACACAGAGGCGTTCATGTAACTAGAAATGAGACTATTTCATGTAACACAGTGATAGTGGACACATCTGTCAGGGCCCTAAGAAGATAGACTAAGAGTGGACACTAATGCTAAAGTGGACTTTGGGTAAAAATGGTGTAAAAATGTGGATGGAAGGGGGCGGGCTAGGTGTATGCAGGTGCAGAAGGTTTATGAGCAAAATGGTACCTTCCACTCAGTGTTAGACTTAAAACTGCTCTATACATAATATATTTTAAAAACTGCTCTATACATAATACATTTTAAAATCCAGGTGGTGGTGGCACATGCCTTTAATACCAGTACTTGGAGGCAGAGGCAGGCGGATCTCTGAGTTCCGGGCCAGCCAGGGCTACACAGAGAAAACCCGTCTCAAAAAAAACCAATATATATATTCTGGATGGCTTAGCAGTTAAAAGCTCTGGCTTCAAAATCAGCAGCACTGAGTCTGGATTCCAGCACCCAGGTAGCAAGCTGGATCTTCCAATGATGCCTGTAACCCCAGCTCCAGGGCAGGCAGAGACAAGAAAACGCAAGCTGGGTTTAGGGAGAGACGCTGCCTCAAAGGAAAAAGGTAGAGAAAGAGGATGCCTGATGTCTCCCTCCTCCAGCCTCTGTGCTCAAGCACAGACAAGCATGTCCACACACTCGCATGCATATATACTCACACAAACACACCCCATAGATAACATAAGTGTATCTCTTTTTAAATTTCTGTCAATTAGCCTGGCAGGTGGAGGCAGGGCAGCAAACAATGTGCATTGATCAGGTGAGAAATGTGGAAGGAAGGAGGTTGAACGTGTGCTTCGGGAGCAAGCAGAGGGAAATGCTGCTTGGTTCAGCACCCGAGTGCCAGTGGATCCTTGTGGGATGTCAGTCATCATGGAGTGGTGAAAAGAGAGAGAAACAAAACAAATTTAAAAAGCTAGTGAACAAAAACGTGACCCGGATTTCCTTTTTAACGTAATTATTCTGCAGAACTGCCTTCACAGGCGAAGATCTTCAGCAGAGCCGCAGCTCTACAAAACAGACCAAATAGCAATTTGTGTTGTCTTCATATTCATAAAATAAAGTTGTAGATTTGGGCCTCACCTGCTTCTTATTTGAACAGCAAAAATAGTATATGCTAAAAATCGATGTTTTAGTTATTAACTTGCTAGTAAATGCTTATATATTTACTATATAGTTATAGAGAGTGAGATTAATACGCCATCTGTTCAAGAGTCCCAGCCCTGATTGTTCACACCACTCTGAGGCAATCACTGCAACTCAGCGTTGTGAATTTCAGGAGCATTTTTTTTTTAATCTGTTTAACAAAAATGCTACTCCACAAGCTTTACAGAGAGGTCTTGCAGTGAGTGGCTACGATCCTGAGTCACACAGACAAGCCTGCGGGAGGTAAATTCTTCATTCTGACTCCTCCACACTGCACACATGTGAGGGGCAGGAGAGAGATCCACCACGCGAACCGCAGGTCCTGGTCTGTTATCGAAAGTGGAAACCACTGTTTTCAGAAGTCACACAGCACGAAGATGCTGCCATTCAAAGTAGCCTATCATCTTAGCTATAGGCTGCCTGACATTCGAGGGTGGAGATGTCACATGCTGTGTTTAGTCCCCTTGCATTGATGGCCATTTCCTTCCTACCAGCCTGGAGACTCGGTGCTGCCCTTACGTACCAACCATGTTCTCCCCAAGGCCCCGAGTCAGCTGCTCGGGTTTTCCTTCTGCCTGGATTTCTCAGCTGGACCATCCATCGAGCCTTCTCTAAGAGCCGCCGTAGACCACAGTGACGAAGAACAGAGTCAAACTGTACGGCCTGTTTCTTAGTAGCTAGGTGGCTTTTAACATGTTACTTAGCTGCCCCGTGCCTCAGTTTCTTCATCTGTCAAATGATTACATTTCCCACACATATAGTGGGAATGAAATGAGCTCATGCTAGTGAGCTCTTTAACAGTGCCTGGCACACAGTGCAAGCCCAGTGGAGCTCAGACACAGTCACCACCCACTGTTCAGGTCCAAGGTCAAGTCCCACCTCCTCCGAAGCTGTCCAGGCTTCTCAGCAGTACCCACCCCAACTCCCACACTGCCGTTTTCTGCCCTTGGAGACAATCCCTCGCCTTGAGAGGGCAGCTGCGTAGCAGAGCACTTGACCTGCACACAAAAGGCCCTGGTTTTGGTCCCCAGCACCAAAGAGAACAAAGCAAGATCAATAATGCCCCCTTCCCTCAATTCCAGAGCACCAGTGAACAAAATGATACACAACCACAGCATGACATTCACAACACTTGCTTTCCACAACTTTTAACATAATGCTGTGTTTCCCGCGTGATCTTTCAGCAAAGCTATTAATATCTATGTCTGCTACCTGTGCATAGGTCTACCTTCCCCAGCTTTAACTGCGAGCCCTTTGAAGACGGGGCTCAATAGTGATTCCACCTGTACTGAGGTCAGAATGTAGACTTTCCTCAGAAGGCACAGCTTTGCTGCTTTCAGAAAACACCGGGCAAGCAGATAAAAGATGAGGGTACAGTGATGGACACGATGCATCGTGCTCTGCCCGAATGCAGGTTGTGGAACCGAATAATTTGCCAACAATTTGAACAAAATGAACCCTAGGAAATGGTCAGTGCCTGTATGAAGAAGGAAGTCTAGTTACAGAAGCTACAGCAGATGAACAGATAAAGACGGCCTGGGCGGCACACACAGCAGAGTCTCGTTCAGCCATGAAGAAGAACGGATTATGTCATTTGCAGGTACCTGGAGGCCATCCTGTTCCGGGTTCAGAAAGATGACTATCATACACTTTTTCTCATGTGGGGAATCTCAATTTTTAAGGGGCTTTTCTGGAAGACAAGAGAGACCAGTGGGACAGGGAGAGGGACCAGAAAGGGTAACAGGGTGAATAGGACCAAAGTACACTACAGACACGTACAAACAGCACAGATAAAGGAGCCCGGAGGGCGGTTCACCCCTGTGATCCCATTACTCAGGGGGCTGAGCCAGGAGGCTCACCCCGGGTTACACACGGAATACCAGGGCATCCAGGCCTACGCACCGAGACTGTCCCCGAATCCGGTGACAACAAAATCAACCTTCGTTTTCCGTAAGTGAAGAAAGAGGAGGAGGAGGAGGACGGTTGCTGTGGAGCTTCCTTCGTGTCCGCTCATGACCGAGAGGAGCGCAAACAGGAGGAAGAGGGCTGGAGAGGCTCATGTCGTCCGCTCCTTCTTCATCCTTGTTTGGTTTCTCAGTGCTGGGGAAGAGACCCAGGGGACTGAGCTACGTTCCAAGCCGCTTCCCCACTTGTTATATTTACAGAGTTCCCCAGAAACTCTCCACCTTGCACTACAGTTAGGTTTAAACTGTTTACTTTTTGTTGTTTTTTGTTTGTTTTTTTGTTTGTTTGTTTGTTTTTTTTCAAGACAGGGTTTCTCTGTGTAGCTTTGCGCCTTTCCTGGAACTCGCTTTGGAGACCAGGCTGGCCTGGAACTCACAGAGATCCGCCTGCCTCTGCCTCCCAAGTGCTGGGATTAAAGGCATGCGCCACCACTGCCCGGCTACTTTTTGTTGTTTTTTAAAACTAAATAATTAATTTATTGAGGCAAGTTCTAACTATGTAACTCTGACTGACCTGGAATTCGATAAGTAGCCCAGGTTGGCCGGGAACTCACAGAGATTACCTGCTCCTGCCTCTTTAGTGCTAGGATTAATGGTGTGCACCACCACACTCCAGGAAACAAACAAACAAAAAAAAAAGTTATTACTACTGTTTTTTGATACTGAGGATAGAACTCGGGGCCCTGCACAATGCTA